CTCGCTATGAGGACACTGGGCTAACATTTGTATCAACTCTCAAATTGCTACGGGCTCACCATGGCCCGTGCTACTTGGAACTTTTTGTTCTGGGTAGCGAATCTTAAACAACAACAACAACAACTCTCAAAGTCGGGCTGATTGATCTTACAATTCGTTTTATGTGAAAGGTTTTACATATATAGTTGATCAATGTAGCGCTAAGAGTTATGTCTCACTTTTACGGTTGGTTATGAGAGAGAGAGAGAGAGAGAGAGAGAGAGAGAGAGAGAGAGAGAGAGAGAGAGAGAGAGAGAGAGAGAGAGAGAGAGAGAGAGAGAGAGAGAGAGAGAGAGACAGAGACAGAGAGAGAGAGAGAGAGAGAGAGAGAGAGAGAGAGGAGGTAGGAGGAGGGAGAGAGAGAGAGAGAGGAGTGGAATAACATGACGTAACACCACATGGTCACTAGGGAAGGTTCACCAAAACAGTGGAATGAGACAAATCGTGCCAGGATCACGAGGACATGTTGCCGGGGGCCAGTGGTGGTGGTGGTGGTGGTGGTGGTGGTGGTGGTGCTGGTGCTGGTGCTGGTGAAGGAGGGAGTGCCAGCATGTACTTTATTCATGTCCCGTCTGCCATCCTCGTTGTATCTGTTGAATTATAATTTAACTTTTCAGACGCTTGAATACTTTGTCCAATCCTGCCATACAGTTGTGGATGGAGGTGGCTTCCACGACTTCCTTCAGTCCATTCCACTAGTACTATGCACCAGTAGTTTCTTCCATTTCTTCAGCTTATTTGCATTTCCACCTTCCATATATTTCCTTTTGTCCTCTCTCTCTCAATTTAAAAAGGCTATCCATGTTCAATTCGTCTATTCCCTATAGTATCCTGTGTATAGTGATCATATCCACTATTTCACCTCTCCTCTAGGTTGGTGGTTCCCGACCGTCCAAGTGGTTGGGCACTATTCCATCCCCCCGTCCCATCCCAAATCCTTATCCTGACCCCTTCCAAGGGCTATATAGTCACAATGGCTTGGCGCTTTCCCCTCATAATTCCCTCCCTCTAGGTTGCTGGTGGCAGCAACAAAGAAGGTTTGTGAACAAATCCCCGAGACCATTGATGAGAGTTCGACCCTATGCGCTTAGTGCCCCCAGACTCGCTCTAGTCAACTGTACCACAACATGGTAAAAGAATTGCAACCTGGAGTGCTACTGCCCCCACGAGGCTCCCGAGGCTTCCACTGAAGCCTTACCAGGGGTTTCACACAATTCCCACCATGCACTCAGGCTCTGTCGACCAAATAATTCAACCTCTACCTTCTGTACATCAATACACACAGACATGACAATAAGGTGATATTATTTGACAATGTTGTGGTACAGTTGACTAGGACGCGTTTGGGAACATAGGTTCGAACCCTCATCAACGCCCTTGTGGATTTGTTTGATATATGACGTTATAGTGTTGTGTGTGTGTGTAGTGGTGGTGGTGGTGGGAGGAAGAGGCTGCCAGGTGGAGGAAGGTAAAGAGTAGTAGGGCAGGCGGCGAGGGCAGGACAAGGGCCTTGATATTAAAAGCTTGCTACTAATACTCTCCCATGCAATCGTTTGCCCAGGCAGCCCTTGTTGGCACCGCCTACAGACCTTCAGCTCTCTCTCTCTCCCTCCTTACTCTCTCGCTCTCTCTCCCTCTCCTCCTCTCTCTCTCTCTCTCTCTCTCTCTCTCTCTCTCTCTCTCTCTCTCTCTCTCTCTCTCTCTCTCTCTCTCTCTCTCTCTCTCTCTCTCCTCTCTCTCTCTCTCTCTCTCTCTCTCTCTCTCTCTCTCTCTCTCTCTCTCTCTCTCGTGTACATGCATATGCAATTTTCTGAACTTATCCTTGCTGTACTAGTGGAGATTAATAATTAGCTCCTGGGTCCTGCCTCTCAATTTTCCATCGATTGGTATATTATCTAACCACTTGGGCTCTGCCATACACATCTCCAAGTATGTATCCATGTAGTGAATCCTTCAATAAACTCATGATTACTTTTAATTATTAACTAAATTAATGGTGATGTAAGTCTTTGTCGATATTCTTGAAGATCTTGTGAACCGTTATTTTGTTTCCTCATAGTTCATGACCTTTAGCGCTGGGGCCCGTCTAATGACAAATATATGTGCTTGGCGAGGTTGAGAGGCTTCGTGATGTAAAGTCCTGGGTAAATACTGGTTTAGTAACGTTGTTGTTGAATGATAGAATAATCTTTTCCGGTTACATAATGGACGAAGGATTGCTGGATGGTTTCAAGAGAGGGCGGATATAAACAGAAGTGGCCTCGTTCCAGCTAAATTACGGGCTATTCATGCCCGTGCCACCTTTTGGATGGCTTAATCTTCATCAATCAATCAATTCCAGCTAATACAGGCCTTGTGCACTCTCCTTCATTCTTCTGAGGCACACTCAACCATTGCTCTAATACACAGATGATATACTCCCGTGAAAATTATAATAGTCAAATTCTTAAACTCAATCGTTTAATGACCCGACTGCCATCGCGTAGGATCGAACCCTCATCATCATGGCCCTTGTGGATTTGTTCATTTCACCACTGATGTTACCTGGTTTGTGTGTGGCTCACGAGGCAGGGGTTAGTGTGAGGTGTACTGGTAACGTGTTCTCTAACTCCTGACACTCTTGTCATCCCGGAGGGTACACTCTCTTCCTGTTCCCGGTGTGTGTCCTCATTGCATTACACGTATTGCGATTGAAGTCTTACATCCACTTCACCGAACATAAGGTGATGGGCTACCATGAGCGGGTGATGGGCTACCATGAGCGGGTGATGGGCTACCATGAGCGGGTGATGGGGAACCATGACCGGGTGATGGGCTACCATGACCGGGATGATGGGCTACCATGACCGGGGTGATGGGCTACCATGACCGGGGTGATGGGCTACCATGACCGGGGTGATGGGCTACCATGACCGGGTGATGGGCTACCATGACCGGGGTGATGGGCTACCATGACCGGGTGATGGGCTACCATGACCGGGTGATGGGCTACCATAACCGGGTGATGGGCTACCATGACCGGGTGATGGGCTACCATGACCGGGGTGATGGGCTACCATGACCGGGTGATGGGCTACCATGACCGGGTGATGGGCTACCATGACCGGGATGATGGGCTACCATGACCGGGATGATGGGCTACCATGACCGGGTGATGGGCTACCATGACCGGGATGATGGGCTACCATGACCGGGTGATGGGCTACCATGACCGGGGTGATGGGCTACCATGACCGGGATGATGGGCTACCATGACCGGGGTGATGGGCTACCATGACCGGGATGATGGGCTACCATGCCCGGGTGATGGGCTACCATGACCGGGGTGATGGGCTACCATGACCGGGTGATGGGCTACCATGACCGGGTGATGGGCTACCATGACCGGGTGATGGGCTACCATGCCCGGGTGATGGGCTACCATGACCGGGGTGATGGGCTACCATGACCGGGGTGATGGGCTACCATGACCGGGGTGATGGGCTACCATGACCGGGGTGATGGGCTACCATGCCCGGGTGATGGGCTACCATGACCGGGTGATGGGCTACCATGACCGGGTGATGGGCTACCATGACCGGGTGATGGGCTACCATGCCCGGGTGATGGGCTACCATGACCGGGATGATGGGCTACCATGACCGGGGTGATGGGCTACCATGACCGGGGTGATGGGCTACCATGACCGGGTGATGGGCTACCATGACCGGGTGATGGGCTACCATGACCGGGTGATGGGCTACCATGACCGGGGTGATGGGCTACCATGACCGGGTGATGGGCTACCATGACCGGGTGATGGGCTACCATGACCGGGTGATGGGCTACCATGACCGGGTGATGGGCTACCATGACCGGGTGATGGGCTACCATGACCGGGGTGATGGGCTACCATGACCGGGGTGATGGGCTACCATGACCGGGATGATGGGCTACCATGACCGGGTGATGGGCTACCATGACCGGGTGATGGGCTACCATGACCGGGTGATGGGCTACCATGACCGGGTGATGGGCTACCATGACCGGGTGATGGGCTACCATGACCCAACAGTAGCAGGGGAGGGGGGGGGAGCAAGACGGATGGGCACAATAAACACCTCAACCTGAGCACAATAAGGGCGAGGGTGGTATAACCGGCGGCCATAAAGACTAATATAGCACCTCACAAGACAATTATTTTCTACCACAGACGTGGCCACACATTTACAATGCTAACCAGCATATATACATTTTCTTATGCCCTCTATGGACAGGCTTAGCGATCTGTTAAACATATAGTTCAGGGATTTATTGAACAATTAAACACTTTGTAGTGATTGTTGTACATATAAAATACTAATCTAATCTAACCTACATACATAATTACACAGATTTACGTCTGCCCTACATAAACAGTGTTCGATGTGTATTTTTTCATAATGTCATTAATGTGCATTTACAAAGGTGACGACATAGAGGTGAGAGAGGTTCTCAACAACTCCCGGATGGAGGGATAGTGCGGGTAGGTCATTTGAACTCGACGTGAACACCAATGCACACCATTGGTGTTCATTGCCTAAGGGAAGGGAACTATGAGGAGAAAGCGCCAAGCCATTACGACTATATAGCACTTGGAAGGGGTCAGGATAAGGATTTGGGATGGGACGGGAGGAAAGGAATGGTGCCCAACCACTTGGACGGTCGGGGGGATTGAACGCCGACCTGCATGAAGGGAGACCGTCGCTCTACCGTCCAGCCCAAGTGTTATTTTACCTAAACCATTACCACCTATGTGACTGTGAAGCATATGTAATACCCTGACAGCTTTATGTGCAACTATGTGCTGCTATAGTCACTTATACATAATGTTCATCGTCTCTCTCTGGTTCTGTCCATGTGAATCTAGTCAGGTAGAATTGGTGTCGTCACCAAGATGCACCAAACGTTCACGCCTGAAACAATACCTTGGTAAACAATACCTTGGTAAACAATACCTTGGTAAACAATACCTTGGTAAACAATACCTTGGTAAACAATACCTTGGAAAACAATACCTTGGTAAACAATACCTTGGAAAACAATACCTTGGTAAACAATACCTTGGTAAACAATACCTTGGTAAACAATACCTTGGTAAACAATACCTTGGTAAACAATACCTTGGTAAACAATACCTTGGAAAACAATACCTTGGTAAACAATACCTTGGTAAACAATACCTTGGTAAACAATACCTTGGAAAACAATACCTTGGTAAACAATACCATGGTAAACAATACCTTGGAAAACAATACCTTGGTAAACAATACCTTGGTAAACAATACCTTGGAAAACAATACCTTGGAAAACAATACCTTGGTAAACAATACCATGGTAAACAATACTGTAACACTGTAAAAGTGTTTGGGTTAGTTTATTTAAAATATATATAGAGTACACGAGTCACAGACAAGGATCTGAGAGGCGCCAGTTGTCTGCCTGAGATCTCACACCTCTAACCGTTAATGACCCCAAGTGACCTGAGGTCAGATCATGACAATTTCACCTTGCTTCCGCTAAGCTGATAATTGTAGTCTGGTAGCCTTCAAACATGCCGACGTTTAAGGAGTGGCTTGGTAGTGCCGGAGGCTATCTATTTGTGGGCGGAGTTAGCTACTAGGTTCCCCAATATAAACTCGGAGAGCTATCCAGCAAAAAGCATTGACAGACAGAACAGCATCAAGAGAAGAGCAGACGAGAACAGAGACGACGTCCCTATCAGGGAGGCTGTCGGCCGGCAAGGGCGGGAGTCTCTGTCAACTACAGACCCCCCCCCCCCTCTCTATTCAACTTAGACTCAGTCCTCGGTGAGTGAACATTAAGGTGACTTGGTCGTGTTTACATATGTTGTGTGATGATCAGGGGCAGTCAAGTTGTAGGGTTCTCGAATTCTTGGATGATGACTCACTTTGCATATTAAACTGGAACATTTTAATTGAATTGCTTAAGTTATGATATTTATCATGAAAAATATAATTGTTGAATTTATTATTTAAATGGTCTTTCACTGTGTCCCTAGAGTTGAGTTGAGGTGAGAAAGCCTCGGGGATTATTGGTTCCCTGATTTTAATGAGTACATGGTACAGAGGGAACATACTAATAATGAACTCATGATAACATCCTTTGAGAATTTTGTGATACAGGCAAGTTCCATTCCTTGTCTTGTATGTAATGATCATGAATGGATGGTGGCAGCATTTCGTCTTCTACTATCAACTCTTCTACTTCTACTATCTACTCTTCTCCTTCTACCTATCTACACCTCTCCCTCCACCCCCTCTCTAAACTCTCACTTTCAACTAATGACCCTCCTCGCTCCTCCCACCTCTCTCCCTCTCACCCCCAAGCCCTCACTAATTACTTCACTATTCATTTCTTTCCTTTCGTTTCCTCGTATACGTTTGTGGCAATGATTCTGTATTCTAGAGTTCTCTCTAAAGTTCCGGGTAGCTGATCCAGTTACGGCACCTTGTAGTCTTAGCACCTAGGTAGTCAAATACCTAGGTTACAAGGTGTTGAACGAGAGAGGTTGCCTTAGGAACTCTGGAGGTGCTCTAGAATAGTTAGCTAACTGGGGACGGGATAACGGACTAGAGAGAGCTGTTTCCCCTGGCCTCGGTTTTTAACTGGGGGGTGGAATAATGGACAAGATAGAGCTATTTCCCCCACCCCCCGTTACAATACCTTGGAAAACAATACCTTGGTAAACAATACCTTGGAAAACAATACCTTGGTAAACAATACCTTGGTAAACAATACCTTGGAAAACAATACCTTGGTAAACAATACCATGGTAAACAATACCATGGTAAACAATACCTTGGAAAACAATACCTTGGTAAACAATACCTTGGTAAACAATACCTTGGTAAACAATACCTTGGTAAACAATACCTTGGTAAACAATACCTTGGTAAACAATACCTTGGTAAACAATACCTTGGTAAACAATACCATGGTAAACAATACCTTGGTAAACAATACCTTGGTAAACAATACCTTGGTAAACAATACCTTGGTAAACAATACCATGGTAAACAATACCTTGGTAAACAATACCTTGGTAAACAATACCATGGTAAACAATACCTTGGTAAACAATACCTTGGTAAACAATACCTTGGTAAACAATACCTTGGTAAACAATACCATGGTAAACAATACCTTGGAAAACAATACCTTGGTAAACAATACCTTGGTAAACAATACCTTGGAAAACAATACCTTGGTAAACAATACCATGGTAAACAATACCTTGGTAAACAATACCTTGGTAAACAATACCTTGGTAAACATTTGTGAGTAGACACACACTGACTTCATACAAACTTCCAACACTATGATGAGAAGCACGAAAATCTGCCATGTTGAGGTCCAGGAGCTGAAGCTCATCCTGCATGAGGTTGAGGTGAGTAGGTGAGTACACAGGCACTCGTGGCCTCATATTCCGAATATTGGAAGGAAAGAATGCCAGGCACCGCGAGGTGAACGACAGGGCCAGTGGATGTGTGCCGTCCCCATAAGGCACTTAGCGGCCCAGGATGACCCTCCAAGTATTCAGGTCCACCATAACCACCACCGGCACTATGATGGGGGGGGGGAGGGGGTCACCATACTACCCTGGGACCATACCAAGCTGATGACCTGGCACTATACACGTGTGCTTCTCGTATGGTTTAAGCTTGAAGGTCGACCAAACACGGACCTTTGTAGAGGCTTGAGCTGACCTCAAACATATTTGACAGTCCAACTATGATATCTGAAGGAACATCAGTTAGAGTATTTTTTTTGTCACAAATACAAATGATGCAAAGGACGAGGTTTGTAATGCGTATGCTTCTTGAAACCTAGTGTTTTTGTTTACCTGGTGTTCCTGTTTACCTGGTTAAGTATACTGGTACCTGGGAGATACACAGCTGTTGTGGGTTGCATCCTGGGTATGACCCGTATAGCTGGTGTAGGGAGAACTAGATAGTACTATTAGACCTCCTGCTGTTCTTCACGGTGGGAAGCCATATTGGAGGTGTATGACTATATTGAAATAGGTATAGGCTTAGTAATGTGTGGTATTGTTTGTGTGAGCCGGAGGAGGAGGCCTATGTTACGACCCGGATCCAGCGTCCGGGCCTGGAGCAGTGACAAACACGCCATCTGTGGGTCAGCTCCCGAAACCCCCGCCAAACGAACGACGACACCTAGTGAGGACAGCGTGTACTGGCCTCGAGGACCAGTTTCCAGTCTGGTTCAGCGCTCAACACCGCCGCTCCTGACCTCTGGTGAGGTGGTGCTCCGACGACAGCGCCATCTATGGACTGGATACGTCAGGTGTTTGTGCCCTAGCCTGTGAGTGTGGTGTATTAGTGTCCCAGTTATTGATGACGTGTCTGTTTACAGAGTCGACCTGGGACCACTGTGTTGAAGGTGGAGTCAGTCTACCCGAGGCAGCCAGTCTCCATACGGTGAAGTTTGCTGCAGCTGTCGTGACGTCGTCCCCCCGGAAGAACACTGTGGTGTGTTAGCCTGCCAGTGGAGTGGCAATGATAGGATTTACCCGGGACCGACTGTTGGAGACGATAATCCACTGGGGTATTGAGGACAGGAGGGTGATTGGTGATATCACACGAGACTCCTGTCTAGGGCGTACCCCTTTTATCGTTCGTGGAGTGGCCGTACCAGCCTTGGTGGCTCAGTACCTGCCAGCAGACCTGCTGGACGTGTGGTTGACGGCCTCCACGACGGTGCCCCCAGTGGACCTGTGTTGTGGCTGACCTGTGGCCAGGGTAGACTCGGCGTTCTCAGAGGACACGTCTTGAGGCCACGAAGAAAGCACCGCGGACTCAGCACCTAGCTTCGAGGATCCATAGTCTCCAGCAGAAGACTACAGTGTTGATCCCCTTTGTAAAGTGTTAATACCCCTCCCCCTTGTGAACGTTTTACTTTTATATATATTTATGGTGATGGTGTTAATTATAATATTAAGTTCTTGACTTTCTTTCCATACTCCCTTTAAGTTACTTGCGTCACGGATCGCATCCCTTGAAAGCCTCTACTGGCTTGGGGTCGGATATACATATCTTCCTCTAACGACATCAGAGTAAGAACCCCGTTGCGTCCCGAGAGGGCCGTAACAGCCTAAGAGAGGGTGGGGTGCAGTGGTGGGGTGCAGGGGAGGGGAGGGGTGTAGGGGTGGGGTGCAGGGCTCCCCTTCCTGCAGGGGTGGGGGTCCAGGGGAGGGGGAGGGTTGTAGGGGTGGGGTGCAGGGCTACCATCCTTGCAGGGGTGGGGTGCAGGGCTACCATCCCTGCAGGGCTGGGGTGCAGGGCTACCATCCTTGCAGGGGTGGGGTGCAGGGCTACCATCCCTGCAGGGGTGGGGTGCAGGGTTACCATCCCTGCAGGGGTGGGGTGCAGGTCTACCATCCCTGCAGGGGTGGGGTGCAGGTCTACCATCCCTGCAGGGGTGGGGTGCAGGTCTACCATCCCTGCAGGGCTGGGGTGCAGGACGTATGGAGAGGCGCGAAACAGAGCGTTCGCGGTGTGAGGCAAGGAACAGCCGCGCAAAACACACAACATATCCACAATTTTTCTTGCCAATTATAACACAATAAAAATACGTTGTAACTCTGCTTGTGCACTAACGTGAGAGCCTAACATCTTAAGACACAGGTGTGGCCAGACCCCCGCGCCATAGGAGCCGTCAAGGTGCCAAGACTAGACCTTCAAAGTTCCCTCCCCACACTCACAACCCTTCAGGAAAGGTGTCGTAAAAATAGGTTCAATATTCACCCCTTCCGATTCAGTTTCCATAAAATGTTTCAATACAGCGAGGCGTTTCTCTATATACCTGAGAGCACTCTATGGTGTGGCAACTTCTATTTTTGTCTTACCTGGTCATATAGAACTAGTAACTTTACGTGGGAATCTTGTAGAGCTTTTCTCAACCAATAACATACACACACACACCACCACACACACACACACACACACACACACACACACACACACACACACACACACACACACACACACACACACGGTTAGGCGGGACCAAGGAGCCAGAGCTCAACCCCCGCAAGCATAATTAGGTGAGTACACACACACAGGACTCAAGCAAAGGAAACAAAGGTGCCGAAAAAAAACATTAGAAAGTTTTCTTTACAAAAAGAATGGAAAATGGCTGAAACAAGTTAAGCGAGAAGGTGGTGGAGGCCAAAACCGTCAGTAGTTTCAAAGTGTTACTTGACAAAGAGTACTGGGAAGACAGGACACCACGAGCGTAGCTCTCATCCTGTAACTACACTTAAGTAATTACACGCGAGGTGCATCCCTCTGGCTCAATGAGTCTACGAAGTAAGACCATCAAAGCCTAGCACTCTGATACAGACGGAGTGACAACCAAGGAACAAGTACTGAGAGAGAGAGTGTGAGAGAGAGAGAGAGAGAGAGAGAGAGAGAGATAGTCGTGTCAATAATGTACAACCTGTTGGAAACCAACAGGAGACCCAGGCAATAATATGAGGAGGCAAACACAGAGACAATGATGAGGAACATCTGACTCAACATGTCACAAAGTCAACCTGTCCTCGGGGAGATCTACTTAAAAAACGTTTATGTTGAAGAATTTGGTTTTCTGTAAACGGAATTATTGGGCATACTGAAATAGTTTTCATATTCCATATTTCACATTATCGTCAATAATACACCGTATTAACGTAACCAAACGTAATGAAACTTAACCAAACCTAAACCTAAAGTAACCTTACCCTAACCTAACCATGGATAGAGTGTAAATAATGGCACTGATTGTTTAGTCGTTCCCAATCTATTCCTTTAACATACACTTGTTATATTTTAAGCCAAAGATTTATAATACAATTACGTTATAACTTGAGAATAATCTCTGTTTACTACAAAAGTTCCTTTGCCAGTTTATACGTAGACTATTACTAGCACTGTAATATGATTTCAGATCATCACAAATATCCAAGTGGGTTGAAGGGGGGGTGTGGTTTCCCATGGTAATAGACATGGTAGAGACAGCAGACATGATATACATGGTAGACATGATAAAGATAGCAGACATGGAATATAAAGAGCCACCTATGAGGGACCGCTTCATGCTAACCTTTGAGTCTGTACCGTGGACAGTATCATGGTACAACTACCGCTGTACCGTGGACAGTTGCACGGTACAACTACCGCTGTATCGTAGACAGTCGCACGGTACAACTACCACCGTACCGTGTACACACACACATGGTACACATCACGACACGGGCATACCCTGCATGCATGCACTTGCCCGTGCAATATGTGCTCATTCACGTGTAAAACGTTTGCAACACACATGCAACCTTTGCAATCACGTGACCCAAGACCAACGCAAACACAGTTTCTGGCATGCACAGGTAAACAGCTTTCAGGCATTTACAGAATTACTTTTTGTGTATAATGAGGCACAATTTGCGGGCCACATGGTAACAGCTTCTGGCACTCAATAGGTCCGCAATTTCTGGCACTCACAGGTACATAATATTTTGGCATTTACTTTTACTATTTCCAGCACATATGACCAAATTATGTGTCTCAGACTGATGTAATTTGCGGCAGCTGTTGTTACACAAGTGCTGGCACTGGCTGGCACTACCCCGCCCACCTCCAGACGCGCTTCCTGGCATCTCCAGGTGAACTTGTTGGACATTTGTTTTTGTCTCAGGCGCACTCATAGACCGGTTCCCTGCGCGCTCAAAATCTACCCACACGTATTCAATTTACCACCCGCACTCACAACCAGCCCCCCCTCACACTCACAACCAGCCCCCCCTCACACTCACAACCAGCCCCCCCCCCCTCACACTCACAACCAGCCCCCCCCCCACACACATAACATCCAAAGTTAAGACATAGCATTTGATTTACATATCATTGAAGCGTTAAATTTAAATATAACAAGACTCACCTGGGAGACAACAACATCTCTCACCAGGTCCTGATTGACAGATGAAACAAATATTTACCTGTAAAGGCTTTCCTGGTAAGAGGCTTAAGTGTGGAGGAAGAGAGAGGGGGAAGATTAAGGAAGGGGGGAGAGGGAAGACGAGGAGAGAGAAGATGGGGGGAGAGATGAAGAGGAGGAAGACAGAATATTCAGTCTGCCCATCCTCCTGTCTCTCGTGTGGCTCCTGTCATCTTTATTGGAGAACTCTAGCAAGTTTGTTAAGCAGGATTTGCCTTTACCAAATCCGTCCTGGAGCCTTGAGACAAAATTGATCTCTTCTCAATATTCTACTGACCTGCTTGTGGGGCCAGTCTCTCTCTTTCTCTGTACGGAACTGTGTAGTTTAACCCTTCTGGTCTTCCCATTTTCTTGATTTCCCATTTTCTTGTAGATTGGCACCCCCCATTAGGCCTTTTCCGGCAGTGAGGCGGTTCTTAAGACTGTGTG